ATAAGACAGGGTAAGATAACTAATGGTAAAGGCATAGGATCTGGGTTCCATCAGACTGTTCCTCTGCCTTCTTCTCTCCCTCCATCTAGGTCTTGCCCATCCACTAATACATAGGTTAAGACCCAATATCTTCCCTTCCCTTTATCCTTTCTCCAAATGGCCTTCATGTGAAAGAGACTATCTTCCTAGCTACATTACCTCTTCCACCCCTACCTCTTGGCTTGGAGTGAACAGGAGATGTGATCCACTCTCGAGAAGAAAGACCTGAAGAAAAGACATATGCAGTCTTAGGATTTGAGTTCCAGGTCCTATGTTTAGTGATATTTGTGATCATTAATTGTGGTACACAATCTTGACTTGAGTAAAAAACAAACCAAAACACACACACACACACACACACACACACACTCACATTACCACATTAGTAAAGCTCTGGATATGTCTGTGGATTTCTGATATGTGGGCTAAAAACTGAGGATAGAAGACCCACCCTAGATGTGGATGACAACCAATATTAGGCTTATAGCCTTTATAGAATAAAAGGGGAAAGAAGTAAGCCTTTCCTTTTCTTCTTCAGAGGAGCTCTGGTCTTTGCCATTGCCTTTGGACATTGTTCTCCAGTTCCTTCAGGCTTCCAGTGCAGACTCTTCAGCTTTCTAATGCAGACTCTTCAGCTTTCCAATACGGACTTACACCAGACTGCAGTGACATTCGACTGGATCCTCCAACTCTTCAACATGCAGATGGTCATTTTGTATTCTTCTACCCCTAATTCTACAGTTCTGCAGATGGCCATTGTATGCCTAGTCCATAAATCTGTCCTACTCAATAATCTCTTCTCTAATGAACCCCAACTGATATAACATTCTAAGATCCTGTCTCAATCAGCTTTCTGCTACTAAAATAAAGTACCTGAGGCAATTAATTATAATGAGAAAGGGCTTGTCTTTGGCTCATAATTTCTAGTCCAGTCCAAGATCAAGTGGCCTTATCACTTTGGCCACTGATGGGGGCAGTACATCATAATGGGAGCCTGTGCTAGAACAAAGCACTTATTTTATGAGACAGGAAGCAAAGAGAAAGACTAAGAGGCCACTATCCCACAGTCCCTTCACTGGCATGCCACCAATGTGACTAATATATGACAACTAACTTTATAAGGTCTTATAAGTACACAATGAATCTATTGCTGGAACAATAAAAAGAGGTGGAGCGAAGGGGAAAAAAGAATTGAAATGTGTTATGTACATGTACCAGTTCCTTACAGTGAATGTAAACATTATGTACTGCAAACATGTACTAACAAAAGTAAATAAAATAAAGAGAGCCGCAGACACCTAGGCGGCAATGTCTGAGAGACAGGCGAGTGATGCGGAAGCAGCAGGGAGACCTTGCACTTAGCAGGGAAGCCTGGGCTTTGGCCTCCTTTGGGTTCCCTGGAAGCGGGAGGCGGCCAGCGCAGGAGCCATAGCATCAGAGATGGAGCCTCCAGGGAGTCTCTCTCCCCCTCAGCCTGAGCCAGGGAGGCTTGGCAGTCCGAGTGGCTGGAGGGGCTTCCCTCCCTGAGAATGGGAATTCTCTTCACCAGGATATGGAGACCGTTCAATCACTAGGAACACAAAGTTATCATTGTTGGATTGGATAATGCAGGGAAAACTACCATCCTTTACCAATTTTCTATGAATGAAGTTGTATATACATCCCCTACAACAGGAAATCATGTAGAAGAGATAGTAATTAATAAATAATACATGTTTACTGATATGGGATATTGGTGGCCAAGAATCTCTTCGCTCTTCCTGGAATACTTACTATACTAATACAGAGTTTATAATAGTTGTTGTGGGCAGTACAGACACAGAGAGGATTTCTGTAACTAGAGAACTCTACAAAATGTTAGCTCATGAGGAGCTAAGGAAAGCTGGACTGCTGATTTTTGCTAATTATCAAGATATTAAAGAATGTATGACTGTAGCAGAAATATCCCAGTTCTTAAATCCTCAGTAGCACAGGAACTAGCACAAAGAATCAACAACTGGGATCTCATCTTATTCTGTACTGCAAGAGAAACCTCCAACAGAGCTCAGAGACAACCTACAATGTGGGAAAATTTTTTTTACCAGCTGTTCCTCAGAGAGTGGTCTACTATCTAGAATATTTAAAGAACTCAAAAATTCAGACCCCCCAAATATAAAGAACCAATTCAAAAATGGGCATCTGAAATGAACAGACATTTCTCAGACAAAGAAAAGAAGCAAATAAACATGAAAAAATGTTCAATATCACTGGTCATTCGAGAGATGCAGATGAAAACAATGCTGAGATTCCACCTCACCCTAGTAAGAATAGGTGCTATCAAGAAATCAACCAATAAGAAATGCTGTTGGGGGTGTGGGGAGAAAGGAACCCTTCTCCATTGCTGGTGGGAGTGCAGACTGGTGCAACCACTGTGGAAATCAATATGAAGATACCTCAAAACACTAGGATTAGAGGTCCCATTTGACTCAGCTATTCCTCTGCTGGGTATCTTCCCCAAAGAATTAAAAGAATCATACCACAGTGATATATGTGCACCTATGTTTATAGCGAGCAGCACAGATTGTAATAGCTAAAACTTGGAAGCAGCCCAATTGCCCATCAACTGGAGACTGGATAAAGAAGATGTGGGCTTTTTACAAAATGGAGTACTACTCAGCCATAAAGAACGAGAAACTAGAGACATTCATAGCTAAATGGATGCACATTGAAGCAATACTCTTAAGTGAAATCAATAGGACACACATGTGTAAATAATGAATAGTTTCTCTGCTGTTAGAAACTGAAGTGTAAATAAGGATCAAAATGTATAATTGATAATGTGAAATAGGAAGAAAAGGTCTAAAGGAGTAGGGGAAGTGGGAAGGGTAGGGGAAAGGAAAGAAAGGAAAAGAAAAAATACGAGAAAAGAAAAAAATGGAAACAGAATCTTTGTAAACAGGGAAGGGTGGAGGGGGTGAAGGGAGGGCAGCAAAATAGGGAAAAAAAATAAGAACCAAGATACATCATATAAAGGTATAAGATCCCAATGAGGAATGTAACTATATTGTATACCTAAAATGTACCAATAAGCTTAATGAAAAAAAAGAGAAATCTCCCAGTTCTTGAAGCTCACTTCTATTAAAGATCATCAGTGGCATATCCAGGCATGCTGTGCTCTTACTGGCAAGGGATTATGCCTAGTGCTTGAATGGATGATGTCACGATTTAAGATTAGATGATCTCTACTGACCTCTTCTTATAGACTTTGTATAAACAAAGTGCTTGACTTTACCTGAAAGCTGCAAAAATTAATGGTTTAGATATATTTATAATAAATTGATTTAAACTTTTTCTAAAGAAGAAAA